ATTCTAATCAATATTTTAATTTTTTAAATATTTTAAATAATTATTATTTAATATATTTACGATTTTTTTAATTTTTTGAATATTTTTAAATATTTTTAATTTCAAAATATTACGATTTTAATTTTAAATTTTAAAATATTTTATAAAAATAAATTCAAACTCTATTTTATAAAATATTTTTAAATATTTTAATTTTTTTGTTATGTATTTGGTTACGATTTGAGTGCAGAGTTGTGAAAGTAGTATGGAGTTTCAAATTACGTGTTTGTTATGAGTTTTTAAAATAATTTCTTAATTGAGTTTTATTTTATGTGTTTGGTTACGATTTGAGTGTAGAGTTGTTTTTAAATTTAAAATATTAACATTTTAAATTATTTAAATTTTTTGAATATTTAAATTATTTAAATTTTTACGATTTAAATTTTTTGAATATTTATTTTAATTTTCTACTTTTTAAATTTTTTAGATTTTTTAAATATTTATGATTTAAATTTTTTGAATATTTATTTTGAAAAAAATTATTTCCTTTGTAGTATTTCAATTAAAAATTGATTAATGAATAAATTTTTTTAATTGAATTTAAAAAGAGTTTAGTTATGAGTGTTGATCAGAATTTTCAATAGTGTAGAAGTAATGTGTTTTGTTACGAGTTATAACAATTTGAATTAAATTTTAGAAACTCTTTTCAAACTCATAACCAAACACTCAAATCATATTTTACCACTCACAAACTCAAAATACATTCCATACTCTCAAATCAGATTTACAAAACTCCCCAAACGCAAACCATTGAATTCCCTTTATTTTGGGACGAGGCAGTCCTTTACGTACAACTTGCGTTAAGAAAGAATAAGAACGACGATTCCACCTATCTTTCCCCACAAAAAGAGTCAGTCAGCTAAAGCAATCACACAGTCCCACCGATTTAAAAAACCTAGCTTTTGTTAGGATAATCCGATCGGATTATGTATTTGGGTTGAAAAGGTTCGTGACCTTGGATTTGATTTTGGGATCAATCGTGTTGTTTGCTTCAATTTTCAGAATTGAAGGGTTCTGAGTTGAGAGACGATGAAGGCTGCCGAGACCTTGCAAGATCTGATCGAAGAAGCTAAGCTTCGTACGGTATATTGGGCACTATTTATCTTCGCCGTAGCTTACTTCTTAACACGTAAGTACTCAATTTCCTCTACTTGTTTTTTAGAATTTGAGCATTGTTTCTTTGGTGTTTGGAATACGAAACAGTTGAATGTGATGTGAAGCGATGCCAATTTAATCTCAATTAGGTTTGTGATTTTTTTAATTTGTTTAATTGGTCCTGGGTTAGTTTTTTTTGAAATTTCGTTAAGGTTGTTTAGTTAGATAAAAATTAAAAAAATTACAAATTTCTAATTGTTTGCTTTGTACTATTACGCCAAAATGTAGATGAGAGGATACTGTGGTGGTTGTCATGAACAGTGTTCTAAATTGTGGGTGAATTTTTGTTTTCTGCTGGCTCTGTGTCTCAACTAGATATTTCTAAACTTTTGTTGGTTCGTTGCAGACACGAGTAAATCAATGTTGATGAATATTCCCATATCAATACTATTGTTTCTGCATTACGGATTTTATTTAATGAGGTGGAGTTCCTTGGAAGGTGCGGAAGGTTCATCAGCAGACATATTTATCACATTTAGAAAAGAAGCAGTTGTCCGTGAACGATTCTCGGCTTTCAACATTGCCGCCACCGCCAAAATGGAAGAGAAAAGTTGACTCTCCCTATTGTAGAGGCCGCGATGGAGGAGTTTGTTAATAAACTTTTGCAGGATTTTGTTACAGATTTGTGGGTATTCGGATATTACACCTGACAAGGAGGCCCCTCAGCTCATCCGTGCGATAATTATGGATGTTCTTGGTGAAATATCTGGAAGGGTTAAAGAGATAAACTTAATTGACTTGTTGGCAAGGTATTTTTCAGAAAAGTTGGCATATTTTCTTTGGGGACTTTGAGAAGTGTCCATAAGATTGTGCGATGTTATTTAGTTGAATAATAGAAGCATTTGTTTGTTATATGCATCAGGGATTGGTGGACTTAGTAGGGGATCATCTAGACCTTTTCAGAAGAAAACCAAGCTGCTATTGGTGTGGACGTCATGGGAACATTGTCGTCAGAAGAAAGAGATGAGCGTTTGAAACACCATCTTATGGCTTCAAAGAGCTTCACCCTGCATTGATATCTCCCGAGTGTGAGTACAAGGTGTGAGTGGAGTGTTCTGAAGAAATTTTTTACTTACTGATTTTACTGTTAGCATGCCATCTGATGTTTTTACTTGTTGCAGGTTCTTCAACGTTTTATGGGTGCGGTATTAGCTGTAGTGCTAAGACCAAGAGAAGCCCAATGTCCCCTGGTTCGATGCATCGCCCGAGAGCTTGTAACTTGCTTGGTAATGCAACCTATTATGGATTTTGCTAGCCCTGGGTGAGCTCCTTTAAACCTCATTTGTTTTCATCGAGTTTATTGTTGCCAATCATTTGCACATGTGTATTCCTTTGAATGTTTTATACTATACAAGGTCTACGACATAAGAAACATTAGTATGAAAACAAAAATGTATAGTTTTTTAAAAAATCTTGTGCCTTCTCATTGTTTCTGCTTGAATATCTCATGTTTGCATAGGATACATAGGCCACTCCCCTGTCTTGGTGCCTTTCAAATTATTTATTTATTTATTATTATTTTTAATGAAAATAAAATTCCCCTCTTAAGTTTTTCTGATGTACAAACATTCACTAGTCTGTTATAATAAAAAATTGTTGACTAACTCGGTGTGTAATTTATGTTTATGAACAAAATAGAAATATTAAGGAAAGGATATTGAGTGGTGAGTGCTTTATCCTCAGCAACTAACTCACTTTGTTCATTTTTTTTCCTGTGGTAAATTATCAATATGAAAGAAATTGAGTCTTATTTGTTTATATAAATTTTACTTTTTTGGTCCATTGAACATATAGTTATGCAAGTCATTAAAATCTAGGTCTAAAAATTGACCTGTTGTTGACAAAAAAGGAAGAAGGTACTGTTTATGAGAAAGACTGTAAAAATAGCAAAATTTTACAGCGGCGAGCTATTACGTACATAATCACTTTGGGAAGACACAGCCCTTTGGCCCAAGGATAATGCTATTGCTCATTTATTAAATGGGGAATCTGGTCAATGACCTTGCAAAGAAAAAGAAACGATGTGAGTCAAGTGAGTGAAACTGTGATGCCCTTTAAGACACTGCTTGATTGAGGACGGCTGTCACGCTGTCTTCGTACTTCGTGAAATTTGAACAGTCCCGCCTTTTTTCCCTTTACCTAAAACTAGTCTCATCATTTCAACACACTTTACAAATTCTCTCTCTCAGCCTCCACTGCTTGTTCATTTTCTGAGCTCGTGTTTTGCTGCCTTTTGCTTCCATCTTCAGTTTCCTGCTTCTTCTTCTGGTTAGTATTGCATCTTACTTGCTTTGTTTGTTTTCGTATTTGTTCTATGCGTTTTGTTTTATGTGTTTGGTTACGATTTGAGTGTAGAGTTGTTTTTAAATTTAAAATATTAACATTTTAAATTATTTAAATTTTTTGAATATTTAAATTATTTAAATTTTTACGATTTAAATTTTTTGAATATTTATTTTAATTTTCTACTTTTTAAATTTTTTAGATTATTTAAATATTTATGATTTAAATTTTTTGAATATTTATTTTGAAAAAAAATTATTCCTTTGTAGTATTTTCAATTAAAAAATTGATTAATGAATAAATTTTTTTAATTGAATTTTAAAAAGAGTTTAGTTATGAGTGTTGATCAGAATTTTCAATAGTGTAGAAGTAATGTGTTTTGTTACGAGTTATAACAATTTGAATTAAATTTTAGAAACTCTTTTCAAAACTCATAACCAAACACTCAAATCATAATTTTACCACTCACAAACTCAAAATACATTCCATACTCTCAAATCAGATTTACAAAACTCCCCAAACGCAAACCATTGAATTCCCTTTATTTTGGGACCGAGGCAGTCCTTTACGTACAACTTGCGTTAAGAAAGAATAAGAACGACGATTCCACCTATCTTTCCCCACAAAAAGAGTCAGTCAGCTAAAGCAATCACACAGTCCCACCGATTTAAAAAACCCTAGCTTATTGTTAGGATAATCCGATCGGATTATGTATTTGGGTTGAAAAGGTTCGTGACCTTGGATTTGATTTTTGGGATCAATCGTGTTGTTTGCTTCAATTTTCAGAATTGAAGGGTTCTGAGTTGAGAGACGATGAAGGCTGCCGAGACCTTGCAAGATCTGATCGAAGAAGCTAAGCTTCGTACGGTATATTGGGCACTGTTTATCTTCGCCGTAGCTTACTTCTTAACACGTAAGTACTTCAATTTCCTCTACTTGTTTTTAGAATTTGAGCATTGTTTCTTTGGTGTTTGGAATACGAAACAGTTGAATGTGATGTGAAGCGATGCCAATTTAATCTCAATTAGGTTTGTGATTTTTTTAATTTGTTTAATTGGTCCTGGGTTAGTTTTTTTGAAATTTCGTTAAGGTTGTTTAGTTAGATAAAAATTAAAAAAAATTACAAATTTCTAATTGTTTTGCTTGTACTATTACGCCAAAATGTAGATGAGAGGATACTGTGGTGGTTGTCATGAACAGTGTTCTAAATTGTGGGTGAATTTTTGTTTTCTGCTGGCTCTGTGTCTCAACTAGATATTTCTAAACTTTTGTTGGTCCGTTGCAGACACGAGTAAATCAATGTTGATGAATATTCCCATATCAATACTATTTGTTTCTGCATTACGGATTTTATTTAATGAGGTGGAGTTCCGTTGGAAGGTGCGGAAGGTTCATCAGCAGACATATTTATCACATTTAGAAAAGAAGCAGTTGTCCGTGAACGATTCTCGGCTTTCAACATTGCCGCCACCGCCAAAATGGAAGAGAAAAGTTGACTCTCCTATTGTAGAGGCCGCGATGGAGGAGTTTGTTAATAAACTTTTGCAGGATTTTGTTACAGATTTGTGGTATTCGGATATTACACCTGACAAGGAGGCCCCTCAGCTCATCCGTGCGATAATTATGGATGTTCTTGGTGAAATATCTGGAAGGGTTAAAGAGATAAACTTAATTGACTTGTTGGCAAGGTATTTTTCCAAGAAAGTTGGCATATTTTCTTTGGGGGACTTTGAGAAGTGTCCATAAGATTGTGCGATGTTATGTAGTTGAATAATAGAAGCATTTGTTTGTTATATGCATCAGGGATGTAGTGGACTTAGTAGGGGATCATCTAGACCTTTTCAGAAGAAACCAAGCTGCTATTGGTGTGGACGTCATGGGAACATTGTCGTCAGAAGAAAGAGATGAGCGTTTGAAACACCATCTTATGGCTTCAAAGGAGCTTCACCCTGCATTGATATCTCCCGAGTGTGAGTACAAGGTGTGAGTGGAGTGTTCTGAAGAAATTTTTTTACTTACTGATTTTACTGTTAGCCTGCCATCTGATGTTTTACTTGTTGCAGGTTCTTCAACGTTTTATGGGTGCGGTATTAGCTGTAGTGCTAAGACCAAGAGAAGCCCAATGTCCCCTGGTTCGATGCATCGCCCGAGAGCTTGTAACTTGCTTGGTAATGCAACCTATTATGGATTTTGCTAGCCCTGGGTGAGCTCCTTTAAACCTCATTTGTTTTCATCGAGTTTATTGTTGCCAATCATTTGCACATGTGTATTCCTTTGAATGTTTTATACTATACAAGGTCTACGACATAAGAACATTAGTATGAAAACAAAAAGTTGTATAGTTTTTAAAAAATCTTGTGCCTTCTCATTGTTTCTGCTTTGAATATCTCATGTTTGCATAGGATACATAGGCCGCTCCCCTGTCTTGGTGCCTTTCAAATTTATTTATTTATTTATTATTATTTTTAATGAAAATAAAATTCCCCTCTTAAGTTTTTCTGATGTACAAACATTCACTAGTCTGATATAATAAAAATTGTTGACTAACTCGTGTGTAATTTATGTTTATGAACAAAATAGAAATATTAAGGAAAGGATATTGAGTGGTGAGTGCTTTATCCTCAGCAACTAACTCACTTTGTTCATTTTTTTTCCTGCTGGTAAATTATCAATATGAAAGAAATTGAGTCTTATTTGTTTATATAAATTTTACTTTTTTGGTCCATTGAACATATAGTTATGCAAGTCATTAAAATCTAGGTCTAAAAATTGACCTGTTGTGACAAAAAAGGAGGAAGGTACTGTTTATGAGAAAGACTGTAAAAATAGCAAAATTTTACAGCGGCGAGCTATTACGTACATAATCACTTTGGGAAGACACAGCCCTTTGGCCCAAGGATAATGCTATTGCTCATTTATTAAATGGGGAATCTGGTCAATGACCTTGCAAAGAAAAAGAAACGAGTGAGTCAAGTGAGTGAAACTGTGATGCCCTTTGAAGACACTGCCAATTTACATGACCACATTCCACTGATTATTTTTGTTATGAAGTTGGAAGAGACTAAGAGTCATGTCCTTTGCTTTGTCAAGTCCACAAAGAAGAGAGCTTATATCCTCTCTTGAAGAAGCGAGAAACAACATGCATTCAGAATTTTACATAATTTATGAATTTCAAGTTGCTCATGATGACTTAAAGGAAATGTCAAATAATATCTGGTAGAGGGATATCCAAGAAAGAACAAATATCATTGTTGTTCGGATAGAAATATCAACACCTTTTCAAGCACAATGACCAGAAAAAGTGGGACAATTTGAATTCAGTGGAGATGAAAGCTCAAAAGTAGATAGTTGAGGAACTTTAGTTCTTAATTACATAGGGGACTTGTAAATGTCATGAAAAAATGTGTTGTCCCCCCTTTATTGTCAAACTTACCAAATAACCAAGTAGTAGACAAAAAAAGATTTATGCTTATGTCTGTAAAATAAATTGTGACCCTTTCAAATATTTGACCATATGCTTTTACTTCCTAGCAAATCTTATGCCAAATATGTTCTTGTGTGTCACCATTTTCAGTCTGTAATGGCATTTTGTAACATTTCATATAATATTTGAAACAGGGGCTACTTCTACAGCTGAAAGGGCTTCATAAACTGCCCTCTTGGCTCCACCTCTTAAATGCATTCTTGTTGTGTGTTCCTGTTATGTCTATAATGGCATTTGGTAACATTCCTTGTTTTTGAAATAGGGCTTCCATTTCCACAGCTGAAGATGCTGCATCAACTTCCCCTCTTTTTCACATGTGGGTCCTATATGCATAGAAAAGGACTCGTGTGGATGAGGGGCTGGGGGTGGTGCCTTTTTGGTTGTAATTATTCTCACCCCAGTCAGTAAAGTACTCTTTCTTTTAGAGAGCTTCTGGATAAGTTTTTTATATACTATGTACATGAACGGTTTATTTCGCATATTTAATCATCCTATGTGAAGTTATATTGCCAAATATGCTACAACCAGTGTTTTTAGTCTATATAACAGCTTAATTGTTTGAAAAGTATATTAATTATTAGCTCTTCCGTACATTTGAATTTTAACCATTTTGACTAAACAATAATTTTTTTTCCAGGTACATTAATGAGTTGATTGAATATGTTTTCCTTGCTATTAAGGATGATGGAAGTAAAGAGGCAGGTGAAGACCAGTCACCTAATTTAGTGAGTCATAACAGTGATTGTAAAGAGGCAGGTGAAGACCAGTCACCTAATGTAGTGAGTCATAACAGTGATCATGCTGTTGCCGCAGATGTTGCACCAGTTGAGTTTACTTCAAGGAAGAATGCATCTTCCTACAATCAAGTGACTGATTCGATGGTGTCAAGAACTGACAATCATAAAGAGATTTCCCCAGATGCTTTAGAAAATTTGAATTCTAATCTATTTGGTGAGGAACATTCGCGGCCTGCTGACTGGGCACGAATACTGGAGGTAGCAACCCAGAGAAGAACTGAGACTCTAATGCCTGAAAATCTTGATAACATGTGGACCATAGGAAGAAATTATAAAAAGAAAATTCAGAAGATTGCTGCTGGAGGACTTCAGGCTCCCATGACAAAGGGTTCAGGAATATACAATGCTGAACATACAAGAAGTTCGGGAAAGCAAATGTCAACTCATAGGCCTGTAATTTCTTCTGCAGTAGAAGATAAAGTGCCGGTGCAGTTACCACCAAAATTACATACAGAGACTCGACTAAGTAATAGGAACAACAATGTGATCGATTTATCTCGTGGCATAAACAAGGAACAATCTATTGGAAAAGCTCCACTTTTTGGTGAACTTAAGGATACTGCTTATCTTACTGCTAGTGGGAATAAAGGTGGGCTTAAAAGATCAAATAGCACTTCTGCCCTAAAAGTTCAACCTAATATGGAAAAAACATTCACAAGTGAGGGTGGTGGGCCCATTATTTCAGAGTTCTATAGCCCAGATTTTTGCAGGCATACTGAATTGCATACTGCTAAGAGTGTTTCAGATATCGTGTTCCGCAGTGAAGGAATCCTCACTCCCAAGCTTAGGTGCCGGGTAAACTTCCCCTTACCCATTTTCATTCGTGAAAAGTGCATAGATTTTACCCATTGCTATAAAGTAAACCCATGTAAAGACAGGATTTAAAGAGCAATTTTGTTTCTGTGTTTAATTTGTGGTTGTTAAACTCGCCTTGAATTTAAGTTTATATTTTGCTGTTTGTGTCTCATCACCAGCTTCTGATGCTTACCTAACGTCTACAGGTTGTAGGAGCATACTTTGAGAAACTTGGGTCAAAATCATTTGCAGTTTACTCAATTGCAGTTACAGATGCAGATAGAAACACTTGGTTTGTGAAGAGAAGGTCTTGTTCTTATCTTTATATTTAATGGTTATCCAGGCTCATGTTTCTTCATTGGCTCCAGTGCTAATTAAAGTTGCTTTAATCCTTCATTTCATTAAGAAAGTTTCTGAAGCTTTTAGCTCAGCTTGCTCAATCCCTATCTTGGATGTTTTGTAGTTGATCTTTTCATTTTTATTTATTTATACGTCATCCTCATTTTTTTCTCCTTCCTTGCCTTTTTTTTTCTTTGTGTGTGTGGATATTTTGTCATCAGATACAGTAATTTTGAAAGATTACATCGTCACCTTAAGGACATTCCTAATTACACATTACATTTGCCTCCCAAAAGGATATTCTCGTCAAGCACAGAGGATGCTTTTGTTCTTCAGCGCTGCATTCAGCTTGACAAATATCTGCAAGTATAATTCATCCATCATCTGCAAATCACATATAGATGTTCCTTTCCATCATGTCATTTTGATTTTGCTGTATTTCCCAGGATCTCTTGTCAATAGCTAATGTTGCTGAACAACATGAGGTGTGGGACTTTTTGAGTGTTTCCTCAAAGGTTTGCACTTCGTTGGAATATTGTTTTATCATCAAATACAATTGTCTCTTGTTATGATTAAGTCTAATAATTGTGTCTTGTTGATGAAGAATTACTCTTTCGGAAGATCGTCTTCAGTAATGAGAACCCTGGCTGGTATGTCGCTTTTCTTTGTGGTTGAATTATCATCCTAGCTTCTTACATTGTTTGGATCCTATTTATCTGTATGTGGTGTTATGAGAAAAATAAATTAATATAAAGTTTTGTAAGGGGATCACTGGTTTTGTAGTTAAAACTGTGCCTACTGACTTTGAGATTGTGGGTTCAAACACCGAGGCATCCACTTTGTGCAAATAATGCCAAATGTTAGATATATACCCCATCTACTCCACCCCGATCTCCATTTATTGAAGTCTAAACGGGGTGTACTTTTTCTTAAAATATATTTTTGAAGGCCTGTATTTGTTCATTATGACATTGCATTTAGGTGGTAGGCACATTGATCGCCTACCTTTAAGTCACAAAATTGAAATTGGGCTAGAATTGAAGAATCATTGGCAAGTTTTACCCAGTTGCTTTTTGTCAGAATATAAGTTGTGATATGTGAGTGGATGTATGACTGCAGGATCACTGGGTGTCTAAATTAAAATGTTTGTCAGATGACTTTACTCAGAATTCTTTTGAAGTAAGCATGTGTTGAATCAGATGAACCTAAACACAAATGCTGAAAATGTAATGTCTATGGATCTTTTAATTTGTTTGTCATACTTACCAATATATATATATATATTTCTTGTTTATCATAGGCTGTATTTCAAAGTTAAAAGTCGGTAAGCTATAACTGGCTGACATTTTGGTGAATGTTACACTTCAGCTTGCTCAGTTCAAGAGAATCATCATCATTCACCATCTTCTTCTTCTTCATTGTTGTCGCCTTCATCTTCTTGTTTTGGAAAATGTCTGTTCACTTGGACATTTTGTATGTTATTACTGGCTTAAGTGGGTTTGAAAATTCTTTTGCGACTGCATTTTTTATCTGTTGATATGTGCATTAATTTGGATAATTCTTACTGCATTCTGCATGTGGTTGTGAATTTCTTTGTGGTTCTTACTTCGAAATGGCATGTTGCATATATACCTTTTTTTTCGTGTTTCTGTGTATGTTGATTGGGCACAAGGCTTAGTTTGGTTTGGTTTGGGTTTCTTTTTGTGTGTTATTCTGGATTGAAGATGTTTACTTCTACTGCGTTGTTCTTGATGAATTACATCTTGGTTTGCTAGTTGGGAGTTCCCTTACACACTGGCATAATTCTTCACTGCCAAAATTTTCCAAACACTATTTTAATGATGAGCTTCATTTTTATGAACTCTGTTTATCAGGAAATATAGGCTTCTTTATAATCTGTTCATGACGCTAAAGTGTTTTTTTAATAGAGCTATACGCACCAATTAGTGTACTAACGGATGATATAGCATAGTTTTATTGGCTTTGAGGCTTTGTAATTTGTATAATGGGTGGGGTCCATAGTTTTGAAGTTGCAATGCTATAACATGTATTGGTACACTAATTGGTATAGTAATTGGTGTATGTAGCACCATTATTTTTTTTTTAGTAGGTCCTTGTCTGGCTGATTTCTTTCTTATTTTTATTTTTTCTAAATTTTTTTTCGACAATGGCATTTATTTATTTATTTATTTATCCATTCTTTTGTTGAAATCAAACAGTGAATGTGGATGATGCTATGGACGATATCATGCGCCAGTTCAAAGGGGTTTCAGGTGGCTTAATGCGGAAAGTTGTTGGTTCATCTTCCCTTCCTTATGAAGAAGGCTCTTTATCCTGGAATGCTGATGAGATTAGTAACCATCTCTCCTGGCAAAATACCACAGAATCAGCAAAAAGCCTTTCTGATAATGAGGACGGTGATAAAGATGGAACTCGTGGCCATGAGGAAGTGGGATCTAGTGTGCAAGCTAGTGGGTGGCATTCAGACAATGAATTGAACTCAAAGGGTTTCCCACCTAGGGTTGTTAAACACTGTGAAAGGTTTAGAAGCTTAGATTCTGAGAAGAAACATGGTTCAGAGGCAGAATCTCTATCAGTCAGCCTGGGTGGATATCCTGCGATACGCTTCCCAATAACCTCTGACAATCCGGTTGGAATGCCACTGGAGGTACCAAGCAATCAGCACACTACATATTGTTTCATTTTTCACTCTCACCCTTCACCATAAAGATCCTTAGATTATTTCTGAAGCTATCTCTCAGATGATGTTTGCAATTTTTAGTTTGCTTAATATTTTGAATTTCTTCCTGCATATATGCCATTCTGCTTATTAGTTGTGTCTTGATTGCCCTCTTCATTTACAATGAAATAGTAATCAACTTGTTTTACAAGTGCGTTGTTTTGTTTGCTTACTCATTTTTTGGATGCCTTTATTTTGGTTTTGCCTAAACTTCTGTTTGGCGATTATTTCATTGCAGTGGACACCACCTAAATTAAGCGTACCTGTGTTGAATTTAGTTGATAAGATATTTCAGCTTAAGAGAAGAGGCTGGCTAAGGTGAACCATATTTTACATGATTACTCGTATGATTCCTTTATAGTTTGAAATTTATACATTGCTTGGGAATAGAGACAATGCATTGTTGGACCATTTCAAACCTGGTATTTGATGCTCTTTTTTATTTCGTTAGAAGAGAATTTGTTCCTGTATATTTTCATTTTGATTTAATTCCATTTCAGAACATGCTTGTCCAATCCATGCCTTCCAACCTTAATTGTGGATTGTTAAAGCTTTTAAAAATATTAGTGATTGTGAGTATGTTTTTACTTTTTTGGGTAGATAACATATTTGACGACTTCACATGGACGGTTAAAGCAAGGTTAGATCAAAGAGTTTATATTGGAACTTGGAAATTAGCTAACTAGTTCTCTTAGTGAGAGAGAAGTGTGCAGATGGAATATATATAGGGAGGGAGGGGATTACTTGACTAGCTCTATCATCTTGACTTCAGTAGTTTGCAGCTTCTGATGAATGCTTTTGTTTTCAGTTCTAACCTTTCTTTACTTGCCAGTTGCCACTTATATACCCAACATCTTTGTTTCAGCTACATTAATCTAAAAGATTTTGATTGTGAAGAATTATTCCTGCATCAGTAAAGCTAAAAGTTTCATGTGTAACTCTTTTTTACTTTGCCAGTTCAACGTGGTTCATAGGTGATTATTTTCACTACGGTGATGTCTTTGCTCCAAATAGGTAGGTGTCACGTTGGGCAGGATTTGAGAAAAACTACATTGTGATTATTGCCACTCCACTTTCTCTTATTTTAATATATCTCTATCTATATATATCTATGTTTCTTTTAATCTATTGCACAGCCCATTCTTATTAGTCTTATTATTATTCTTATTATTATTATTTTTTTGTTTCTTTTTTTACTATCTCCAAACTGTCTTCTACAACGGTCCGACATGACCCCATAAACTATCTTCTACATCGGTCTGACACCGCCATCCAGTGTCCTCTACACTGTTATGACACCCCCATACAGTGTCCTCTACAACGTTATGACACCACCATCCAGTGTCTTCACCAATGGTCTGACACGACCATACAGTGTCTCCTATCCTTTTTTATTTTTATGTATTTTCTTGTTTTGTTACTATCTCCAAACTCAAGTTGGTTAGTTCCTATCCCCCTTGAGTTTGCGGGGGGCTGTTAGAATTTACCATAAACCTACCACCACTACCACCTCACCTACTCCACTAAACCTAACCCACTACACCACTACCACCTCCACTTCACCTACTCTCCACCTACTCCCAAACACACTCCTATATAATAGGAATCCTTGTAATTGTAATAAAAACAACACAAATACAATCAATCAATAATATACATCAATTTTTCTTACAATGTGTGTTCGACACATGTCAGGAAGTGTGTAATAAGTTTTGGTGTCAAACACATGTCAGACACAAACATGCACCTTGTTGGAATTGTCCGTGCTTATTAGACCTCATAGCTGAAATTTTGGAGATGTTCTTGGAGAAGGAGATAGGATCCTCTATTTATAAGTGGGTTTGGCCATGCAGGCTATTGGTAGCGTAACCCTCTCTTAGGTATGGAGAATGAGTGCCATCCTCTAATCGGGTTTGAGACCCCATAAGCGTGTGCGGAGCAATCTCAACTATAGTGCAGATGTACATAGTTGAGGTAACAACCTACCTGTTCTTGAAGAATATGGATGTTTTGATCTCTCTCTCTCACTCGCTCTCTCTGTGGGTGGGCTGGGTTTTCTGTCACCTTGAGCCAACTAGCCATATGACCCCCAATATGTGAACTACTAGTTTTTCTTTTCTCTTCTTCTTCTCCCTTTTGTCTTGAAGTTAAAACTGCTTACTACCTCTATTTTTCCCTCCCAATATGTGAATTTTCATCTAGCATTTTAAGGTTTCTCCTCGCCATCCTCAATAGTTTTTTTAACCTGATTATCTTGGTTTGTTTTCTTATATTTGCTCCATTTCTAGAGTCAGTGATAATCCATAGATGGTGAAGTGCTTGAAGCTAAGGACTCCTAATAGCTCTACCTTTTCTCTTTCATTTCTTTTTGGAATGATTCACTTTCATTTATTCTTGAAGTTAACCCAGAGGATGCGACAATTGGCAACGACTCATGCTTCAAAAGTGGAGTTCCCGAGTTTTAAACTTATTAGCTTGCGGTGGCACTGCCACTCTAGCAGGGTGTTGTCAGTGTGTTTTCTTTTCTTTTGCTTAATGATCTAAAGTCAGATGTCCAGGTTTCCTAGCTGGCTTCGTTACTTTCATGATTGTTATATTTGTTCTGGCCTATTAGGGAAAGTAAATGTTGTTCCTTGTTTTGTGTGTGAACAATCACCCATAGCTTAGATTCTCACCCTTTTTATCCCTTATGACTGGAGAAAAGTGGGTTGATTGACCTTTGTGGTAGATTATTAGATTATATGACATGTGATCATGCTGTAATTTGTTTGATCACCATTTAGCCTCAAAGAAGTGATTTTTTTTCTTTTTTTCTTTTTTGTCATTGCAGAAGACAAGTGTTCTGGATATCAAAGCAAATATTACAGTTAATGATGGAAGATGCTATTGATGACTGGCTCCTAAGACAAATTCAGTTGCTCCGGAGAGATGAAGTTATTGCTCAGGGTGTTCGGTGGATCCAAGATGTAAGGACTGATCCATATTTTAATCATCTTCATTTTTCTGAAATGGCTTGCTTGTCAACACAATATCTGCTTTACGGTGTTGCAAGATTAAGAGCATTATAATCCAAGCTTTACATGAATATAACAATATGCAAGGTCATTGATTCATATCCAATATTAGGTAGAACCACTTGAATACCCTCCTTTTGCCAGCATGAGAACAAGCACGGACTGGCAGAAGGGAGTTCACTGAATGACCAAAGCATCAGTTGCTGGCACTTGTGGATGTAAATTAAGGATTAAATTTTTATTTTTCTCCAAACCAATAAAAGAGAAATAATAATAATAATAATAATAATAGTCCTTTGTTTTCAATTGTTGAATCAAACTTGGGTGTGTGTGTTTCTTTTGGATTCATATTTCCTCCCAAGCATTTCTGTCACTAGGAGTGTAGTTTGGCAATGCCAAGTTCAGTTCAAGTTGAGCCTCACTTGTGGTCAGCTGGAACCTATGAAGCATGGGTACATCAACAAATACACTATTTTGCATGGTACTTTTGCATACAGACCGGATACACGAAACACGTACACAAATTTCTTCTTCTTAATTTTGTTGTACCCTAAAAGTACCTAATGTGTACCCAAGTCGTACCTCAGCCAAAATATTTTCTTCTCTGCAGAGTTGAAGTTAGTTTCACTGGACTTATTTTTATTCTTAGCCTGATTTTAAATTTAAGCTTTTTTGTTTGTAAATTATTTAATATAATGACATTTAATTTTGCTTTATTCCATACTTTCTACATTAAATATAAGTTGTATTTAACTATTTTTTGCATTACTCAAAATTAAAAATAAATTTTTTTTTTACAAATGTATTAAGTCGTACCTACACCCTATTTTTTTTTAGATGTTACCATATTGACATACCCATACCCATTCCCGTGCTTCATAGGTTGGAACCCAATTGCCGCTCAAAAGTCTTAGCTGTCTTTATTGATTGTACTTGGGAATGAGTTTTGGCTTGTTTAGAGTCGATTAACCCATCCCATAGTGAGATTTCTTCACTGTTTTTTTTCTTTTTTTTTTGGGTACATAAATTAATATGAGCTTTATCCGGTTCTAACAATGGTTGAAACCTTAGGAGTTTTTATACAATACTATAGCTTCTTTCCACAGTTAAATTATATGAACTTTTAAGTTGTACTGATATATGTTTGTCTGGTTGTACAAGGTAGGCAGGACTCAGCCCATTTTCCAGGGCAGTTAAGGATAAAATTGGCTAGTTTGCATGCTATGCATGATTAGGACATTAGCACAAGTTTTTACGTTTGATGCTGACATGAGGTTGCAGGTCAATGCCTTCAAAATGAAATGAACTCAACATGCTTGAAATATTGCCTGGACTGCTACATTCTGTTGTACATAAAGATTTATAACTAACGGATGATGTTAAATGTTTACGTATCCAAATCCTATAAATGAAATAATTTTCAATGATCTGTTACGCTAGAAACTTTATTGCAGTTTTTTTAGGAAAAAGAAATACAAGAATGGGCAAAGAATGAATGGAAAATGTTTTTGTTTCTTCTAATAATGAATTTCTTTGTCAGGTTCTGTGGCCTGACGGCACATTCTTTACGAGATTAAATACTCAAAGCCAAATGAATGATTGTCAACCTAATCAGACATCTTTTCAAACTACAAGCCGTCACACTAAAGCTTCTAAACCAGGGTCTTTTGAGGAACGGCTTGAGGCTGCTCGTAGAGCTAGTGATGTCAAGAAAATTATCTTGAGTAAGTAATTGCTATTTCTTACTCTTCCTCAATTTTATTTTTTATTGTTTTTTGGGTCTGGTACATCTTTGATAATTTGACTCTCTTGAAGAGTCTTTATTTTCATTTTAAGTTTACTTAAAAATTTTTACCAAACATTTCTAGGCTTGTGATAATGATTCCTAATAGTTTATATGATGATTTTCTTTTGGGATGGTTTCTGTATTTGATAAATAATGATAATTTATTTATTTTTTATTGACAACAAAGAAATTTCTAGGTAATGATTAATGTTTACCTATTTATTTTTATATCAATATATGATAAAGAGCGCCCTATGTTATATTCAGAAAACTTGGGTCTTTTACTTCATTGTGGGCGTAATTTATCTTTGCCTCCAATAAAGTTTTTCTACTATTAGTTTTGCAAAAACCTGAGTACTGGCGGAGTGAAAAAATATAATATAAAATATAATACAAAAATGTTGGGCTGTTTTGATACCAAGCATATGGTTAATTTGGGTGTTGTGGATGTCTTATGCAATAGAATCAGTATAATACATTTGGAAAGGGATTCGAAAAGAGTAGTGTATTTTTGCCAGTTCTGGAATCTTCTTCTCTCTTTTTTCTATATTATGTATCTATCATGAATATTTAAGTACATGTTCATACATCTGTTCAACATTGGTTTGAGTTATATGTCATGAATATTTAAATACATATGCGGACATTTTGTTTGACATTTGTTTGAGTTATATATGACAAATTGACAATGGCCTTGGCAAATAACCTCTTCTCTTTTGCTGTAGGAGTGTGCTGGTGTTGCTGTTACACTAAATAGGATGTTTCAATTCTTTTTTTCCTTACATGGGCAGTATTACACTACCTTAATAATTAAGGGATTTTATGTGTTGAACTTTTTAGCAAAAGTTTGGTGCATATCTCTTTTATAAAGTTATAGGAGAGAAATTCCTGTAAAGGTGACAAATAAGAATGTGTGGTTTTCTCAAGCCATAAGGAGCAGATTAGCATATTAGTTGTAAGCATTCCTGGCAGGCTCTTCTATGAGACGTTTCCGAGACTTTAGCAGAAGATTTTCTGTAAATATGTGATGCTCCATTTGTTTCGGGGGGAAGAAACATTTTCTAGCATTTGTTACAATGGAAATTGAAAGTCAACAGTGAACATTTTCTGTGGTCAACAGAACAGAAGTTTATTTAGGCGGAAAACATTTTTCTGGGCTAAAGTCTGAGCAATGCAACTATTCTACCACCGCTGTCACCACCACCACCACCACCACCTTCACCACCTCCACCTCCACCAGCTTGCCACCACCATGACCACCATCCCACCTCCACCACCACTAATACAACCACTATGACATTAGTTTCAAGGTTATAACCAAATATAGGAAAACATTTTTTGGGAAAGCTTTTGATGGAAGTTTTTTTCAGCCTAAACAAATGGGGGGTCGGGATCAAATGCTTTTTTCTTTTATCGGTGGTCTGTTTTTGGTAATCAAGTGTCCGATTAAAACCCCAACTAATCTCAAGACCCATGCAAAGTGCTCCCTCCATGCAGGTCGAGCATATCTTGGGCATGGCCCCTAAGGATTGATAGCACTCAATGGGACTTGAACCTTAGACCTAATGCTTCATGAGGCACCAAGGGCCGAGTGACTGTCCACAAGTTGACTCCTTAGGGTTTGGTGGTCATGTTTTCTTAGATTCTTGTGAAAATTGTATACATTGGTCCTGAATAGCAATATAAGATAACTGCTGTTTTCTTTTGTCAGATGGAGCTCCATCTACTCTAGTCAGCTTGATCGGGCAGAAGCAGTATAGGCGCAGCGCAAAAGATATATACTATTTCCTTCAGGTAAAAAAAAAAAAAAGCAGTCTCTAATCCTTTTGCCAGAAGTGCAGAGGTGCTGTGATTTCTTTTCATTATTTGAATGATCTTTTTAACCAAGTAGTTTCTGGTTTACTGTAAATTGCAGTCTACAATCTGTTTAAAGCAGCTTGCCTATGGAACACTTGAACTGGTCCTCATATCTGTTTTTCCTGAGCTACGGGATGTTGTGCTGGATGTTCATGAGAAGACGGGTACTCAACCTGTATAGTAAGTTAAAAGTTTCATTTTCGTCACACTTTTCATCATTCCATTTGAGAGGATAGTTAGTTTCCCAACAACTGTGAGGTTCCAAATGAGGAATTCTTTGAAGATTGGGCTTTGGTGGCTTTGCCGTGAGATTCTTCGCCCCCCCCCCCTCCCCCCGCGGCGGGGGGACGAAAGAGGAAATGGAATTTTGATAAATGCACAGAAATCAATTATGGGATGTGGGAAATAGATCTTGTACTGGCTGTACAGAAACGTACTTTTAGAATTTGTATAGCAGTCCTCTTGAGTGAAACTATTGTAATTAATTGATTAAACACACCGGTCATGGGGATTTTTTTGTTTTGCACGGTTGCAGACTTGAGAATCATGACCAGTAGTGGTCTCTATTCATTCATCACGTTAGCAAATTTTTGAAATTTTTTAAAATTTTATTTGAAGTGGAAGCATTATGACTTTTTATCTTTAGGAACTTGCATTTTGTATGAACTAAGCTTATCATGTTGCAGTTCTGCTTCTTTTCATCATGTACCATTGAAACTATTTTTTTTTTTTGGTAGTACCCTTTTCATCTTAGGCGAGATTATTGGTAATCTTAAGCCCATACTAACAATATAATGTACTGAATATTATATTTTGTTTTTTACCATTTTATATTACTCGGTACATAGTGATATATTATTTTCCTTCACAATTTCCCTGGGGATTATTTCCATACAAGAAACTAAATCATTAATAATAATAAAAAAATGGTGGGAAAAAATGTGTATTGAGAAGTTGTAAAAAAATGGAAATAATTTTTTGATGACAAACAGTCTGGTAAGAGTAAATATTAGATGTAATGATAATATTATGTGTCGTATCACAATCTAATGGGTAAGCTCATTGGGTATTTTCTTTAATAATTTTGTTACAATCAAACTCATTTACACCTACAATTTCTTTAATAATTTTGTTACAATCAAACTCATTTACGCTTCCAATAAACACTAGAGAGAAGTGTGTGGACTTCAAACACTGTCACTCTTGGTGTGTTTTTAAAAGTATAAATGAGTTATCTTTCCTCATTCTTTAAATGGAAAATGATTAAAAATCTCTAAAGAGCCTCTACAATGGTAGTATATAATGTTGATATATTACACACTTAATGATATAGAGTTCAATCCTCTTATCATATTATTATATGTAAATTTATATATCTAAAATAAAATTGTAGATCAATCACACAAATAATGGGAAGTAATGCTAGAGATTTTAAAAGTTTTATCAAAATTTTATTAAATGTCTCACATGAATGTAGGATTCACATGTGGTCTTATACTCGAGTGAGACATTTGGTAAAAAATATATTATGTGGTCTTTGGTAAAAAATATATTATGTGGTCTCATATCCAAATGAGACATTTGGTCAAAAAATATATTATGTGGTCTCATATTCAAGTGAGACATTTGGTAAAAAATATATTATGTGGTCTCATATTCAAGTGAGACATTTGGTAAAAAATATATTTAAACTTTTACACTGTATTTGGTTAGAGGATTTAGGGAGAGATTTAGAAAGGGAAATGAAAAAAATATATGAAACTAGATAAAATGTAAATATATTTTATTTATATTTTATCTTCTTCTTCTTCTTCTTTTTTTTTTTTTCTAAATCCTTTTCACTCAAACTAAACGGTCTTTAGCATTATTGAACAACTAGCCTATCACCCGTGCTATGCACGAGATAATTATAGATATTTATATTTGTTTTAGATTTTTTTTAATATATAAATTATGTTTTTTAAGATTTTTTATAAAAATAATTTAACAATCTTATCACTAATCATAGTGTATGAGAGAAGTTGAAAAGGGTATTGCAGTAACTATACACAGATTGTATCTATAATTATTTGTATGAGGGGATTAAATGCTGATCAGGGGATTTTGACCAAATCAATAAATACAGGCATGTGGAAAGACATGTGGATTGAAAAAAAGTTAATGAATGCTGATCAGAGAATTTTGACCAAATTAATAAATGCTGAGTTTTTTTTTTTAATAAAAAATTTAAAAAATTCAGATTGGGATATTGAAGCTCCCACAGGCCTTGGGGTTAAAAATCTCATTTTGCTTAATATATAGTATAGATATAGATAATATAATATAATATAGATAGATATATGTGTTGAAATTTTCAAGGAATTTTGTTTATGCTGGTCTTTAATGCATTAAAGTTTAATTATGAGGGAGTTTTGACCAAATCTCTCAAAAGACATAGGGATTGGAAGAAATTAATAAATACTGAGTTTTTTTTTTAAAAACCAAAAAATTAAAAAATTAAGATTGAAAAATTGGAACTCCCACAAAACTTGTGGGTTAAAAATTTCATTTTCCTTATATAATATATATAGATAATTCTGTACTTAAATGTATTTTTTTCTAGAAATATTGCAAGCAAAGTTTCCATCTCTCTCTCTCTGACCAAAAATATCAATTCCGATACAGACCACTAAAACGCAAGCACTAGAAGAAGCTCTAATTACGTGGCAGCCAACATGAGAGGAAAAATTACACCTTCATATTACAGTGCGTGTGTTTCGCGCACTGTGGGAAAAAAAAAATCCCGCTCAAAAATCTGATAACAGAAGGAGAAGAAATCGTGTTCCAATTTCGGCTCTATTCCCACTGAAGCTCTATTCCAGGTGTAGGGGTTTCCACCGTCGTCCCTCTCCTCCACCGTCCGGCGTTCACCGTCTTCATGTCCCTCTCCGTCTTTCCTGTCTCAGTCAAGCATTTGCAGATCTCTCCATCTTCGATTGTCGTCCCTCGTCCAGGTCAGTTTCTCTCTGGCTTTTGTCCATCTCTCTCTCTATACTTACACATATACATACATACATATATATTTTTTATGTTTGTTCTTAATGCATTAAAGTGTTATTATGAGGGATAATAATTATATGTGTTGGGACTTTTCAAGGAATTCATATGTGTTAGATTTCAAGAATTTTTTTTATGATTTTTCTTAATGTATTAAAGTGTAATTATGAGGATAAAACTTGGGAGTTGGAGATGTTAATAAATGCTAAGATTTTTTTTTTAAATCAAAAAATCAAAAAATTTAGATTGGAAGATTGGAGCTCCCACAAAGCTTGGGGTTAAAAACTCCCGTTTGCTTAATATATAACTAGCTTATCACCCGTGCTATGCACGGAATAATTATAGATATTTATATTTGTTTTAAATTTTTTAATATATAAATTATGTTTTTTAAGATTTTTTATAAAAATAATTTAACAATCTTATCACTAACCATAGTGTATGAGAGAAGTTGAAACAAGTACTGCAATAACTATACATGGATTGTATCTACAATTATTTGTATGAGGAGATTTTAAATGCTGATTAAAAGGATTTTGACCAAATCAATAAATGTAGGCATGTGGATTGGAAAAAGTTAATAAATGCTGATCAGGAGATTTTGATCAAATCAATAAATGCTAAGATTTTTTTTTTTAATCAAAAAATCAAGAAATTAGGATTGACATATTGAAACTCTCACAAGGCTTGGGGTTAAAAACTCCATTTTACTTAATATATATACTAGCCCATCACCCGTACTATGCACGAGATAATTATAGATATTTATATTTGTTTTAGATTTTTTTTAATATATAAATTATGTTTTTTAAGATTTTTTATAAAAATAATTTAACAATCTTATTATTAACCATAGTGTATGAGAGAAGTTGAAAATAGTACTGTAGTAACTATACACAGATTGTATTTATAATTATTTGTAAGAAGAGATTTTAAATGTTGATCAGGGGATTTTGACCAAATCAATAAATGCATGCATGTGGAAAAACATGTGGATTGAAAAAAGTTAATAAATGCTGATCAGAGGATTTTGATCAAATCAATAAATGCTGAGTTTTATTTTTTAATAAAAAATTTAGAAAATTCAGATTAGAATTTTGAAGCTCCCATAGGCCTTGGGGTTAAAAACCCTTTTTGCTTAATATATAGTATAGACTAGCATATCACCCGTGCTATGCACGGATTATGTTTACAATTATCTATATATGTGAATTGCGATTTTTAAATGTCTTTTTTTTTTGCTATGCACGGGATAAATATAGATATTTATATATATTTGTATTAGATTTTTTTTAATATATAAATTATGTTTTTTAAGATTTTTTATAAAAATAATTTAACAATCTTATCACTAAGCATAGTATATGAGAGAAGTTAAAAAGGGTACTGCAGTAACTATACACGGATTGTATCTATAATTATTTGTATGAGTGGATTTAAAATGCTGATCAGGGGATTGTATCAATAAATGCAGGCATGTGAAAAAACATGTGGATTGAAAAAAGTTAATAAATGTTGATTAGGAGATTTTGACTAAATCAACAAATGTTGAGTTTTTCTTTTTTTAATAAAAAATATAAAAAATTCAGACTCGGAATATTGAAACTCCAACGGGCCTTGGGGGTTAAAAATTCCTTTTTGCTTAATATATAGTATAGATATAGATAGATAGATAGATATAGATATAGATAATATAATATACATAGATAGATGTATTGAAATTTTCAAGGAATTTTGTTTATGCTAGTTTTTAATGCATTAAAGTTTAATTATGAGGGGGTTTTGACCAAATCTCCCAAAAGACATGAGGATTAGGAGAAATTAATAAATGCTGAGGTTTTTTTTTTTAAATCAAAAAATTAAAAAATTAAGATTGAGATATTAGAACTCTCACAAGCCTTAGGGGTTAAAACTCCTTTTTACTAATACATAGTATAGATATAGATGGGTCACAGATCTTTTCACAAAAGTTTATGTGGGCAGCCACATTTAATTACTATTGGAAATTAAAAAAAAAGAAAAGAAAAAAAGGAAGGTAAAAACTAAAAAACGGAGCATTTCAAAGACCCTTTCGGCATGACTTTGAAGACCCCATCGAAGGAAGAAGGACTTCGTTGCAACCTCATTTCGCAGACCCTTTCGGCATGACTTTGAAGACCTCTGTATGTCGCCGCCAAATAGGTACTGCATATTTGTCATTGTTGGAAAAATTGAGTTTTTTTTTGCAGTTTGCTCCACTTTTTCTCATGTTTGCATGTCTGTCAATTTCAATAATATGATTGCATGTTCTGATAATGGTTTCTCCCCCCCTCCCTCTCTCTCACTCTCTCTCTACATGTTTTGATGATGTCTTCTTCAAAGACTAAAATGTTGGTTTAACAAAGGGTATTTAATTTAGGAATTTCAGTATTTTCAATTTAGGGATTGTAAAAGTTAGGAATTTTCAATTTAGGGTCGTTTTTTAAATTTTATTTATGAAATTCTTTAATTTGTAGAATCGTTTAACTGGAAGAGCAAGGGAGGACTTCAGTAAAGGGTACGGGGTGATTGGGGAATTTGGGTTGATTGCTTGTTCTAATGGGGGTTGAAATGGATGACTCTTGTTTCTATGATTTCACTCTGCAAGTGGTGATTTTTGTATTGATTTAATAAGAATGTTAAAGACAAAAAAATAAAAACAAGAAGGCTGCTGCCATATTGTTCTTAAGAATTAAACACTCTTGGTTTAACTATCTTTTCATTGATAAACCAAACCATCAAATGGGGTCGGCTGTATGAATTCTTCTTCTTCACTCGACTCTATCCAATGCCATTTTATTAATCAAATTAAAGAGATTCATATTTCTATTTACTACATTAGTCTACGTCAATCTAGGTCTACCTCTTCTCCTAACATTACCATCTACTGTCACTGTATCGTATCTTTTCACTATTGGTTTTGTTGGTCTCCGTTGTATATGATTAAACCATTTCAATCTATTCTCTCTCAACTTATTTTCTATCGGTACTACTCCTACTCATTCTCGAATATACTCATTCTTAACTTTGTCTTTTCTAGTCTTGCCACACATTAACTTTAGCATTCTTATCTCAGCAATCTTCTCTATATGTTGTTTCTTAGTTACCCAACATTCCATCTCATACAACATTGCTAGTCTAATAGCCGTTCTATAGAACTTCCCTTTTAGTCTAATAAGTACTCGTTTATCGCACAGTACGCCAGACGCACTCCTCAACTTAAGCCACACCGCCTTAATTATGTGGCCCACATCATCCGCTCCAATCTCCCTAGTTGTTGTGATAATCGATCCTAAATAATGAAAATGTTTACTCTTAGGTAGTTTTTGGCTTTTAATCTTCATTTCTCCTCTGCTTTCATTATAACTGTTACTAAAATTATACTCTATATACTCTGTCTTAGTTCTGCTTATCCTAAATCCTTTAGATTCAAGTGTTTTTTTTCGAATCTCCAACTGAGCATTAACTCCTCTAGTCTCATCCACTAACACGATATCATCTGCAAAAAACATACACCATGGCACATCATCCTGAATATCGCATGTCAACTCATCCATAACTAAAGCAAAAAGATAAGGACTTAAGGTTGATCCTTGGTGTAACCCTACCGAAATTGAAAATTCATTCGTCTCTCCAGTAGCCGATCTAATAGTGGTTACTACATCTTCATACATATCCCTAATCACATCAATGTAATCTTTTGTCACCAATTTTTTCTCTAACACCCACCATATTATATCTCGATGCACTCTATCATATACATTCTCAAGATTGATAAAACCATATGAATGTTTCTTTTCTTTTCTTTATACTTTTTTACTACTCTCCTCAAAAGATATATAGTTTTCATTGTTGACCTACTAGGCATAAATCCAAATTGATTCTTTGACACTTTTATTATATCTCGTAATAGACGTTCCGTCATTCATCCCACACTTTCATCGTGTGACATATTAACTTGATTCCCCTATAGTTGTTACAATTATTAACATCTCCTTTATTCTTATATATTGACACTAAACTACTCTTCCTCCACTTCTTTGGCATTTTCCTAGTCAATAAAATCTTGCTAAATAACCTAGTCAACCAAACAACTCCCTTCTTACCTAAGCATTTTCATGTTTCAATAGGTATATCATCGGGTCTTAAAACCTTATTCAATTTCATCTTCTTAAGTGCAAACTTTACTTCAAAGTCCAAAATCCTATGATAGAACCTAGAGTCCTGATTTTCTTTATTACTGTCTACTTCCTCCCCTTTTGACTTACCACTATGTTTCTGATTTAACAACTTCTCAAAATAGTTTTTTTACCTCTCCTTAATCTCTTCATCTTTCGCCAACACCTTAGAATCCTCACCCTTGAAGCACTTAATCTGATTAAAATCTCTTGTTTTCCTCTCTCTTATCCTAGCAAGTTTGTATATCCTCTTCTCTCCCTCCTTTCTAGTTTAGTGTATAGGTCATCATAGGCTTTCAACTTAGTCTCCCTCACTATTTTTTTAACCTCCTTATTGGCCAATCTGTAGCGCTTAAGGTTTTCCTCAGTTCTATCATTTTGCCACTTTTTATAGCTCTCTTTTTTCATCTTTATTATCGCTTGGACCTCCTCCCTCCACCACTAAGTTTCCCTAAAGTTGGATTCCTTTACTTTCGACTCTTCAAGAACTTCCTTTGAGATTCTCCTCATACAATTGGCCATCGAGTTCCACATAGTATTAGCATCATCTTCTAAGTCTCAAGTACCTTCTTTATCCATTCTATTCTTAAATGTGTCTAGTTTATCCCTTTTCAGGTCCCACCATCTAGTTTTGCGATGCCCACTATCTTTCTGGGTTTGGTATTGCCCTTTACAGCATAAATCTAGTACCAAAACCATATGCTGAGACATCAAGCTCTCCAAGAATCACCTTACAGTCGCTACATTTTAGATGAACCTCTTTTCTTACTAGAAAGTAATCTATTTGGCTCCTAATTGACCCACTCTTGAAGGTTATCAAATGCTCCTCTCTTCTTATACATAGTATTAGTCACCACTAGGTCAGAAGAGAGAGGAGCATACCCACCATGCACCCTCTCGTATCCTAGTTTATCTACTCCTACATAGGCATTGAAATCACCACCTACAAGTCTCATCCATTTGGTCTCAAAAAACTCTCTTAGTCTAATCATCTAATCCTACTTGGGGGGCATATGCACTAATAACGTTCACTATATTCTCTTCAATAACTAGTTTAACTAATATAATCCTATCACCTTTCCTAATGACTGCAACTCTATTTTCTACAATACTATTGGCAATTATTATTCCTACCCCATTCTTGTGTTTATCCTTGCCACTATAATGCAGCTTAAAACCGGTATCCTCTATTTTTCGAGCTTTCTCACCTACCTACTTAGTTTCTTGTACGCAAGCTGTACTAACTCGTCTCCTAATCATGACATCTACCAATTCTATAGTCTTACCAGTTAAAGTTCTCATATTCCATGTGGCTATCCTAAACCTATAATCTTGGACTAGTTTCTTTAGCCGCGCTCATCTAGAAAAATGCAGAAACCTTTACTCATTTTTCACCGCACCCAGGCGTCGATGCGGCACCCCTTGCCTACTTTTTGAAACACCCGGAGGCAGGCGTAACGCATCACTTAAGGGGAACGACCTAGTATTTAATCGATTCAGAGTATTAGGCTTCATGTCATAAAGGATCTGAACGGTTTTTTTATGTGTTGGCTGTCGGCTACCTAACACACAACCCTCCTCCTTTACCCGGAATTGGGACCGGCAGAGTTGTTAAGGAACCCCGCAGAGTTCTTTATCTTCTTATTGGTGATTACTTCATTTTCTTTGCAGAATTAATCATCATCATCATCATTATCAAGTAACATGGGTTGTAGTAGGGAGGTGGAGATGATGCTGAGAATTATGAAATGAGATTTGTGAGCAGAAAATTGCTTATGCAGTGTCAGAGAAGCAAGGATGTTACTATGTTATTGTCCGAATAGGCAAGCAAGAGGAAATTGTATTTTGTTTGTGAGAATGAAAAATACAATCTAAACGCCTTCAATTCTCATAGAAGAGCACAATAGTTAGAGGTTGATCAACTGTAACACCAAAAATTTGGAAAATAAAGACTTGATGTTGAAGATATAAATTTTCTTTCTCAAAGATGTTGGTTGACAGATTCTCTAATTTGTATTGTAGTGACTATATTGAATATGACAGTAAAATCAATGGTTGTAACATCTGTATTTGATATTGTTGATTACTAATTGGATTACCAACATTTGTATTAGCCATGGCTTTTTTGTAATGACTATATGATGTTGATTAGTAATTACTATCTGATGTTTATTATCCAATAAAATAAAATAAAAATGAACATTGTGTGGCATTAGAGCAGTCATAAAAAATGACATAATTTTTACCAGACTTGTCAAAGGCCATGCCTCAAACATATTTGTTATGCTACTCTTTACCAAGTTACCAAACTGACAACAAAAAGACCGTGACAACAAGAAACTAACAAATAAAATGACTACTCCAACACAATCAGGTCCAAAAAGTACAATAACAGTGCATTACATAAGACTACTTCAACACAACCAGTTATGACCAAAATCAAAGAAAGGAGAATTCCAGTCCACAACATAGCTACCGAAATTGTAGGAAACAGTGACAAACAGATTCTTCATCCAGTGACTAGCAGGAAATAGAGTTGGTCATGATTCTGCAGAAAGAAAAAATAACAAAAAAATATTACATGCCATTTTATATAGTAAAAAGGTAAAAACTTTTATTCACTTCTACCTTTATGTAATTGTTGGATCTTCATCTTGTTCAGTCAACATCTTTGTGAAACTTGGTTGGCTTGATTGAGGTGGATGATGATGTTCCTAATAAAATATAAAAAAGAAAAAAAAGAAATAAGCTTCTAGCCACACCGTCTCAATAATATCTGGAATGGGTGTATTGCATACTCTCCTTGTAACCATATTTGGCTGCCCAAAATGTGGATTCACCCTTATGATGCTTGGATGGCCTATCATGTTTGGCTTATCCGAACTTTACTGTGGCTTATTTTTACATTTTTGCTCCATCTTTTTAAGACGTACTTGTTAGGCACACAATGAACCTCCTTCATGAAGACGACAATGATATGTTGACACAATATTCCCCTAAACTAATTGACAATTACAAGTAGCTTCACTTGTGTCCTTAACAAAATGAACAATGAAAGTTGCACACCGGAGGTTTGATCCAAATGATACATCTTTGCCGATTTCATACACTGAAAAGTTGTCGCCTTCCTTACATGAACAAAACATAACAATAAATCTTTACTAAAAACTCTTTTTGGAACCCTTTGAATTTTGCAATTGTGTAAGCTTTCTAAAATTGTTTCTCCATCTCATATTGACTAAAACAAGGGATGTAAGAATTGAAACAACAGAATTCTTCAATATTTTCATTTTCAATTTTTTGGCCAAAGCATTCTCGTGTTGCTCAACAAATTGCTTCAAAGTGGTATTTGAGTTGATATACCCATCAAAGAATGAGGAGATTAGCATGATGTTTTGACATTGTTGAGAATGAGGAGATTAGCATGATATTTTGACATTGTTGAGAATTCGGGGAATTAAATGTTTAGTTATCATGTTTATTTCCATTGATTTTGTGAAAAACCGAGATATATACAATTGTTTAATATCTCTTGAGAATTACATATTGAGTAGAGATATCGATTTTGAATAACCGGTTATGGGTTATTGTTGTTGCGTTGTGGGAATTGTTGAGAGATTGGAGGATTTAAAATGCCATTACATTGCATTAACATCTCATCTCATGTCTCATGTTTACAAATCGTTCCCACATTGACATAATGCTTTCTTTCTTTGGAAATTTATTTATTTATTGGAAACAAATATTGTTTTGAGTTAAGGGGGTAAATACATCGGTAAGTCCGGTTAGGTAGTTGGTTATAAGTTAAGTTGGCTCAAGGTCCATGGTGAAAGTCCAAAAACAAGTGGAGTAGGTCCAATTTCCTTCTGGTTAAGAGCCAGTAAAGTGGTTTTGGTAGTGCTTGAGAGTTTATTTGCAGACACCAACCTAAGAATTACCAGTGTCATATTTACCGCCCCTTGTTTATATTTTGGATAATTGAATTGAGTATGTTTTCTAGCAATTGCATAGCATAAAAGTGTCAAATGAGAAAATCTATATTTTTGGCATGACATAACATATGCATCTACCGCATGTGATTGTTATACTGTATGCACTTCATTAAGATTTGCTCATTCCTTAATGAAAACCATTTTCAGGTAAAGATGTTGTGATCCCGCCGAAGTAAGGGCGTGGAGGAACTGTTTTGGAGCACGGGGCTTGCTCCTTTTGTTGCCTTATTTTGACAAGCCAAGGGCTATACATTTGTGGGTTTGATAACTATTATATGTAAGCGGGCATAAGCCTTGGAATTTGTAGCCTGTGGGGCATTATTTTGCCCTTAGCTTACTTATTTACACTACATGCTAAAGACTCATGTTCCAGGAAGTGTTGAATGTATAATTGCATGTGGGGTGTTTTATAAATCTCTTGGGTATATTATGAATACAATCAATGAGATTGATGATTATATTGATGATAGAAATCATATATCTTATTCGCATGTGATAGATGTAGTAAATTGGAATTCAGATCATATTGATGAGTATTCTGAGGTTATTGAATGTTAATAATTTGGGCTATTACAGTCAATACCCATCAATGCCTCTCATCAAACAACCCATGCAACCATTCATTGTTTTCAAGTTGATACTTCTCAATGAATATACCCCAATTTTCTTCAAATTCTTCTTTTGTTAATGAATCATTGTAGACGCCTCATTTTGACTGGCCCTATGATTTGGGCGCTTTCTGTTAATTACCTGATGATGATAATCAAAATGTGTTTCTCACAGAATCCTCAAAAGAGAGGTGAAATTTGAGCTTTAATCCCAACCTTCACACATTTTTGGCTAAACTATTTTAGACCCTAAAACCCTCTTTTCAAATATTTTTTCAAATATTTCTACGATGTTTCGAGGCTCCCATTTCAATTAAAATATTACATTTTTTAGTAAACCGAGTAAGGACAAAGTGGAAATAAATAGAAGGGAGGTAAACTCTTTGAAAAATATTTAAAAACATATTCTTTATAGGTTTATAGTTGAAGTAAATAGAAGGGGATGAAAGAAAACTGGTTTAGGAAAAGGATAATCATCAAATCGTTAAGAAGAAAATGAATAGCTTTCACTAAATTAGGCATATCTCTTTGAACACTTGGAATTTAAATGTGAGGCTACCACTAGTAGAAAGTAAACTTTTGGGGCTTCAATTTAGATGTAAGAATCATCTAATACCGAGTCCGGATAAGGGAGATATGGCTATTTGAAGTTAGGCTTAAGAGCAGATTTTGTTGACCCGACTCGAAACAACATCAAACTTGTTTTTTTTCTTGAAACAACATCTTTTTTTTTTTTTTTTTTTTTTTTTTGGTTTTGGTTCGGTTAGGATACATCATTGACCCATTTTTTGATATATTCATCACCAAATGCATATACACTTAGCCTCCATAATCTAGTTCTTGATCCATTAGAGATAAGGCTCCACTTTAGTCTCCCATTAGCTTCGTTAGTGCTCCATTAGCTCCATTATCTCCATTTTGTCTTCCACCTTGTCTTCCACCATTTCTCCACTTGCTTAGCCTACATGTATACATCAGATTGTTGAAAGGAGCAAGAGAATATAGAAATGAGAGAACATTTGAGCTAGAGAAAAGAATGAAAAACGAGAAAAACTTGAGTTTTTGAGCTAAAACACTCATATCTTCCATATGCACCCCATACCTTCCATACAAACTGAAATTCCATATTTTTTACAACCAAAACTCCTCCAAAAATTCAGAAATACTTGAATTTCAATAGTTTTGATCAAGAGGAAGAGTGGGTGATGGTAAAAGTGAACAAAAATAAGAGAGACGATCACTTTTCACCACATACACCTCCAAGTCATCATTCTAGCAAGAATTCCAAGCTTTCAAATTGAGGATTGAGAACATAATTTATATACTTGAGGGTGATCAAAAGAAATTTTGGAAATCATGAAGTTCATCATTTCTTGAAAAGGTGAATTTTCAATTTATTTTATTTTCTTGCATTTCTTACGTATTTTGCTCTTTTGCTTTGATTTGTTGTTATATTATATATTGTTGTAATATAATGGAAAGTGGTGAGTTGAGAGTCCCATATATATTATTTTTAGTTCTGTTTTAAGTATGAGAAAGAGACCTTCCATGCTAAATGATTTAATCTCTTCGGAGGTTTATTACTAGGGCATTACATATCTCTTATGCCAAGAACAAACTTCTTGTTTGACGCTCTCTTTAGTAGTGGATGCAATTATCACTTTTGGACAAAATGATTAAAGAATGGAAAGGTAATAAAAAAGGGCTAATAAAATTAGACTAAAAGAGGCACAAGATAATAAAATTGAGTTAGGTTCAATCGGATGTCATATTGAACCCATTGCATTTCTTACTTATTTTACTCTTTTGCTTTGAATTTCTTGTTATATTATATATTGTTGTAATCTAATTAAAAGTGGTGAGTTGAGACTTCCATATATATTGTTTTTAGTTCTATTTTTATTGTGGAAATCTAAGAAAACAGAGTTTGGCCGAGCCTATCGAGCTACCCAGCCCGTTAGTTGGCCGGGTAGCCACCTAAAAGTACACCATTACGCCTACAACCTTCATGACCATGCCCGCAATCTCTAGGCAAAACCGGGCAGCTTTTCGACGTTGAGAAGATCAACCTCCGATGGTCTTTGAGGCGCTTGAAGCTGCTATTTTCTTATGTTTATTTTATTTTGAGTATTTGTGAGGATTTTTATATTGTGTTCTAATATTTATTCATTTCCCTTGGATTTGTAATATTTAAAATGTTGTAATAATTTCTCGCCCGCTTCTTTCTATCCCATTCCTTTACTTGCTTTCTTTATTTGTAAATATGCATCATATTTTATTTTTCATTATATCCATGTTTACATCCATGTTTCATACATCTTGATTCGGCTAAGTTTGCATTTGTGGATTTAATCAATTCCTATGTGATTATGTGCGCTACCTCATGTTTTTGAGATGATTCACATATCATATTTTAGAAGCCAAATCTTTAGTTGCATCTCATGAGTGAATTGCATCAGGATTTTGTATAGAAGATCATGCATGTTTTACTAACTTTGTTTTGTAACTGTTTGCGAGACGTCGGTAAATATGTAACTTTTCATGCTTTAGCATCCCGCTTGTGTGTGTTTTTTTTTATTATGTTTAAGCATCCTACCATGTGGCTACTTGTTTACTTGATACAATTATATGAATGCCAGTGGATGGAGGTTATGTCGCTTAATTTGGAAAGATGCTGATTTTTCATGTTTGTAAACTCAATTTGTTTGGGTTTGTACATCTTCAAAACTCTTTCAAAACTACATGAAATCGAGTTGTTTCAAAGTGGATGACATAGTCTAAACTTGTATGCTTCACATAATAATTTTTTTTAGGATTTATTAAATAATCGGAATATAAACATATAAAGGAAATAAAAATTATATCATGGTTAGTAAAGGCCGATCTTTTGATCGGGTGAGCGGGCGTGCTCAATTAATGATTTTCCCCCTTCATACTTAAGGTTCTAAGCCAAGCATCCTTGGTTACGACAAATAGTGGCCTTGGCATGAGTCATAGATTTCCTAATTTTCCCAAAATAAATATTAGGTAGTAACTCTGAGATCTGATGACGCAGTCCATTTCTGGCAAATGATTTTTGAAATAAAATGAATTTTCTAAAAGTTGCCAAATGTGGACTCTTGTTTACGTTTCACATTGCACTCGTGAGACTAGATCAAAGAGATTGAGGGTTTGAACTGTTTAACGCGCACGGGTAGCCCCCGAGTGATGTCACAATCATAAACTACATTTTGCGTACAAAACTTGATTGCTTCATATTGTTTGTACCCTCTCAATTTTTCAAGGAACTTCTTCATGATATGCTACAAACACCAACGATGTCGTGCATTAGGGAAAACAATCTTTATAGCATTTTTCACGGCTTTGTCTTGATCTGTAATTATTGCATTAGTAGGATATCTTGACATGCATGTAAGCCAAGCCTGAAATAGCCATGTAAATGTCTTTGTGTCTTCACATGAGATAAGTCCATATCCTACTAATGTGGATTGCCCATGATGGTTAACCCCAACAAATAAAGCAAAAGGGATGTCATATTTGTTGACCAAGTATGTTGTGTCAAATAATGTGACCATGTCATCGAACTCTTTGAATGCCTCCATACTCCTTGCATCAGCCTAGAGTACATGCCTTAATTCACCTTCATCATTCAAATCCATTATATAGAAGAAATCTGAATTGTTAGCTTGCATTTTCAAGAAATTATTCTGCATGGCACTGGCGTCACCTTCTCCAAGCTCTAAGCCCCTAATTTGATCCATGTAATTTTGACAATTTTTTCTAGAAACGAAAGCTTCTCATGCCCCCAGCCTCAATCACAAGAGAATTGAAGTTCTTACTCATTTTGATGCCAACTTTATCATTCAATTCAAGTCTCCTCTTCACATGTGGTTGAAGAACTCTGTTGGATTTCCTTAGGCTCATTTCATGATTATGGTTAAAATAGATTGAGCTTAATATCCACTTTTCATCAACCTGTAGTCTTGCATTAAGCCCAACCTTGCAATTTGTTTTTGTTTGTAGTCCAAGTCTAACAAGGTTGCTTGTCTTGATTCTCAACTATCCAGTATGACTACAAGCAGCAGTTATCCACTTTTTCTTTCCATCAGTTCCCTTTTTTGAAGTTCTTCTAGCCACTACAAAACCGTTTCCCCTAGCATGGTTTGAGTAATACACATAAATCTCATCAATAGAATTGAAGGTCATTCCAACTTTCGGCTCTTCAATTTTCTCTGCAACATTTGTCGTGTTTGTTTCATTCTTAATTTCATCTTCAACATTTTTTGTGTTTATTTCATTATCAATATCATCTTCATTCAACTCCATATTCATTTCATCTTCAATGTTGCTACATCATAACACACAACACTTTAACATAATATAATATCACTGCAATTATAACGTACATTACCAAAGATTTTTTTATACTAAATTAAAAAAAAAAAAATCTATGTGAAGTTGAATATACAATTAGAAAAAAACTAATTTGTCAAAAATAAAAAAATAACATAATCTACATTATGAGAAATATGATTTTAAAAAAAGGCTTTGAATGATACCCAGGAGAAGAAAAAAAAAATGAAAGATACAGTAAAAAGGATGGACCAGGAGGAAAAAAGAAAACTAATAAATTTAATGACTTAAAAAAAATACCCTTTGTTAAACAACATTTAGTCTTTGAAGAAGACATCATCAAAACATGTAGAGAAAACAAAAAGTAATCAATATTCAATGGCTTTGAAAAAAAAAGACTCATTATTAGAACATGCTATCATATTATTGAAATTGATAAAAAAGCAAAAAAAAAAAAAAAAAAAAAAAGATGGAGCAAGTTGAAGAAAAAAAAAAAAAATTTTGACGATGACAAAAATGCAATA